TCCTCCTGTTCTTGCACCGCCTCCTGCTCTTCAGGTTCTTCCCATTTCAGACCCTTACTCAGCCCCTCCTCGTCAGCCGGTGACGCCCACCATGCTCGGATTTAATTTTGTAACTGACACAATATCTTTACAGCTTTCAGTAAATGATTTGCGTCACAATTTCTTTAAATGTCCGAAAATCGGAAAACATGTACTTACATTTTTAAGTGACGGTAAACCCCATTGTGCCCAATAGTTATGGGTTTTAAAGCCTTATTCCGACCGAATTACTCCAAGTCATCGGCTAATTTCTGAGGAGATGTAAAATCTGAAAATACAGCATACACGCAAATTCGCGACAAATAAAGTGTGGGATAGTTACAACCCACCGACCCGCCTGGCCGACAAACATTCTGGCATTCTGTAATTTTGCAAAATTCACCGATGATTAGGACTTAGTTCGGAACACGAAACCCAACGAATCTTAGTCTCACATATACGGTAGGTGGGTTAACTCATGAAACGTCAAGCGAAAGTCCGAAATGCGTCTTTGCTTCGCAAAGATTAATTAAGTAGGGTGGTAAAACTAGTCACCGTGCGGCATAATTCTATAATAATTCAGTCACCTTAGAATGCTGGCTTTAGAGCGAACTTCTTTGGCAACAAGTCTATGGACAAATGGACGGCGTTGCTATGGGCTCGCCTCTTGGACCTCTCTTAGCCGATGTCTTCATGGGCAAGCTGGAGAGATTTCAACTAAGCCATCAGACTGAAAAGCTTAAATATTACGGTCTCTACTCTGATGATATCTTTGCGATTGCAACCACAGAAAGGGCAGCGTCGATTAAATTCACGTTGGAGATGGAACCGGCCGGTTCGCTTTCTTTCTTAGATGTCCTTCTAAAAAGGAGATCTGACGGCAGCATCCGAAGGAGCGTCTATCGGTAGAAAACCTGGTCTGGACAATACATGAAATTCGGTTGTTTCCTATTTTTCTAACAAAAACGAAATCTAGTCAGGTATTTTGCACAAAGAGCCAGATAATTTGTTCACCAGCTAGTATCGGGGGGGAGGAATTTAGAAAAAATTCAGGTCGTTCTTCGCGAAAACGGGTATCCTGACAGGTTCATTGCAAAGAACCTTGCCGAACGACCCGCAGAACCCGCCACACTGACCGCCGAAAAGAAAACTTTGTTCCTAAAATTTCCTTTCCAAGGAGACGCTACGAGTGATCTCCTAAGAAGACGCCTTGATCAAGCTGTCTCGAGAACTTTCCCAGTTGCATGCGTTCGCATATCATTCTCTTCTAGCCCTATTTCACGCGGAAAAGGCAAGGATATGCTGCTACCTCAGATCGCCTCAATGTACATCTACACATTCACTTGCTCCTTTCATGCAGCCTCTCCAGATAATCCTAGAGAGCCTTCCCGCATGGCTGACAAAAAGTGGAAATAGGAGAATATACTGCCCTATCCTTGCGCGTGCAATGGATTCAGGGCATCGCGTGGTCCCCGCTGAAGCATTTCGTGTGATTTATCAGCTCCCCTCGAGCTACTCTTAGATACTTGGCCAGCGCCTGTTTGCAACAGCAGAAGCGGCCGCGACCAGGTTATGAAAACCGACCTTATGGGACCAGAAAAACTTCGTTCAGGCTCCGCGCTTACAGTGGTCAAAGGTTGACTAACCACATAAAATTTCTGCAAACTTCCGCTTTTGTATAGCCTGTATTTTAAAACTGACCTTTACCGAATTTCGCACTTACTGTACCCCGTTCTGCCATAACTGTACCGGCATGAAGAGAAAATGTCGAAGGCAACGTTCGCTTGCTACTTAGTCTTCTGAAAAACCATACTCTGCAATAATGACTACCTAAGTAGCAGACATTTTCCCCATTGATTTTCGATGCCCTTGAAAATTCAAGTATGTCAAATGGAAAACATGCATAAAGTATTCATTCATTTACTCAATTGGTAGAACATTACGTCTTCTTCCAATTTGAGACCCGAAGATATGGTATAATTCGGTTTTTAAAAAGTTTCTCATGGTGCGATTCTTCAATTTCGTGAACTGACCTTTCATAAATCGTCATTTCTCTGCATTTACTAATGTCACTTGTGAATTTAACACTATGGATCAATTTACCTGCTGAATTTTATGAACCCCATATAGTCTCCTCCTAATACCGCAGAAAAATGTATGGTTTTTCGTACGCCGAAAATATACGACTTTTAGTTTTGTAAGCCTGAGTAAAAGTGCAACGGCACCGGGTTCAAAATAATTGGAGAATTAGAAAAGTGCTTGAAGACCAAGTTATGCTCTTTGTTCGAGTGTACAATTGGAAAAAGACGTAATTTTCTACCAAATGAACAAAAGAATGAATTTCTTTGAGCATGCTTTTAATGAAATACAATTGAATTATTAAAGCATCGAAAATAAACGTTAAAGATGCACACTACACAAGTAATCATTTTTTGGAGTATAGATTTTTCGTGCAGGCGAAAAGAAGTTCATTCGAAGGCCGTCATCCTGAGGTAAGTTGATTAGCATAGAATGATGTAACATGATAATAAGATTTTCAAGCCTACTTAATTAATCTTTTCGAAAAAATACCGCATTTCGAGTTAGCCTACTTACTGTAACTAAGCGAATTCACCTCATCACAGTGCTTCAGACCCACAAGTCCTAAAAGTGCTCAGCCTAATTTGCTGTAATAATTATCAAAAGGAGGAGTTGAGACGCCGTAATGCAAAAAGGTCTCCTATGAATGCATCAGCATACTTCAACAACTGGGGATATAACCAGATCTGACCGTGGATTCTAGTGGTAAACCAGAGAGATGTGCAGGAGTGAATCAACCGCTGGCCGTCCTCTACAATGAATGCAAGGTGCTTCCGTCAGTGTTCAAACGTACCGACCAACAATGATGTTACATATCTCAGTGGACACGTCTGGCATGAATACCATCGACGGCTAACAACAGGTTAACCCAAAGACGAAAAATATTAGGTACTGTGAAACCGCCAAGTTAACATCACGCTCCACCAGTCGAGCAACCTGCTCACGTCATCGGAATATTCACAGCCGCGTAGAAACCGTGTGCACAGATCCAGCGTGCACAATATTCCTCCCGATGCTTTAGCCAGATGTGTGGACGGACAATCTGAGGTCTTATATAGCAATTACTACGTTGCCGATCAGCATTGCAGAATATCGAACTATTACTGGTAGACGCTTGACATCGTGCAATTCAAGTAGGGAAACGTAAGCTAATTTGTCGATTTATTTGGTGCGGTATTTTCCTCTTGACAAAACTGCACCTCATGCTGCGTTCAGGTAACCCGAAGGCACTGTTTCGTAGTCGTGATAAGTTTTTATAATAAGAAAGTCCAAAGCAGGCAGAAAAAATAACACAACTTCATTTTCTATCCGACCCAATCTAGATGTTATTAGTAGAAGTACACTGTCATGTTACCTAACAGAAATATTGATCGAAATACATTGGTCTAATATGCAAGTAACCAATAAGAGAATATCGACACAACGCAAACTCCGCAGTCAGCAGTAGTCACAGAAATAGCATTTGGTTCCCTAGGACTTAGTGATATCCCCCGGCTCATGCTCCAGCTGTTAAAAGCAGTGTTAATAGGAAGCAAGTTCTGAATGTACCCAGATTATGTACATTTTCCCCTCTATCTCTCTGTCTCCCCAAACCCCCTACGAAGTCGGAAATCACTATAAAATAATTCGTGCGCATTTCTTCGTTCCTGAGTCCATCCTAATCAGGAACACAGAGTGCAGATCATGAGAATCGACGGCTGAACTGTCGAGCATATAGGGCGCACTGTGGGCGCTGCAGTGAGAAAACTGAAGTTTCAATAAAATTTAGGCCGATTTTATGGCGGAACATGCAGGGAAACACTCAAAAACAGACCTAACCCACGAGCTTAATGTATTCAACGCAAAACGAACGGCGAGTGTTTCACTGAGCGTTCCACATTTCATGTTACCAGTGAGGGTCTATCGCCAACGCGGCACAAGTATAAACTGTCCTCCTCTATGAACTTTCGTGTTCAAACTCAGGAGGTACACCCTGGCAACGAACAAGTTTACAATGGTGCACCCGACTGAAGTGTCCAACATTAAGTCCGCAGGCAATTGGAGGCACGCCCACATCCAAGATTGTCTATATAAGTCAAATCGCAGATCGACAGAGAAGGACGTGTGTGAGTGAACCCACATTGCAAACAACCTGATCATGACCAGCCTGTCGTTCGTACTGCTATTTGCTGTTGCCCACGCTCTCGTGTGCCAGGCGTCACCGGCCAAGAAGATTCTGCAATTCACTGACGAGGAGGGTCTGAGTGAGGATCTGAAATTGGAAAAACCAGAAGAGCAGGAGGAGAAGGAGGGGCCGAGTGAATTGAAGCCAGGTGATGTGGAGCTGGACACTGGGTTGATTGAAGGGGCTCTGGCTCCTGCAGCCAGTAAACCCGTCATAATAATAATCAAGGTTTGAGTTCATTCTTGCCGAATTCGCAAAATTGCTTGCAGACCTGTTTAATCCCACGCACATACAATAAAGAGCTTAGTATAATTAATAAGCCATTTCTTGTTACCGCTTTCGAGGACACTGGGGTAGTTCGGAAGGGCGTTCCGGGTCGTGAAGGCTCCCATGAGTTAAATGTCAGTTGGCCTATTTAGCCAACAGCAAGGAGATGGAACACGCCACCACAAAATCGCTATTATAATTTTCCTTTCAAGGCCTATCTCATCAGTTCGCCAATGACGGACAGTTATTATGGCGACGGACAAATTCGGGTAGCTGTATTAAGAAGTGCAGAAAAATTGAAATATATGCATACGTAAATATGACAAAAAGCATGTTCTCTAGCACGATCATGTCTTCGCCTACCTGTATTGAAGTAAATATGCATTCCCTGTCAACAATCCGAGTTTTTCTTTTGCAGAGCAGAAAAAGTTTTAGATATCCGTTTACCCTTCGATTGGTTTTTACTTCGACATTTTGTGCCCTTTTTCTGAAACAGAAAACGGGACAGTTTCAGACGCCCGGTGAAAGCTGACTCCAGATCAAACATGCTAATGTGTCCGTTGGCATTCCAGCTCCCGACTTTCACGCACCTCCAGCTAACCATAGGGGCTACTTGCAAATTAAACGTCACTAATATTAAGCAACCATAACTTTTAGACGTAGGCCTACTGCTCGAACCTTCTTCTGTTTGAACATTGCACTTGACGACCTACCAGCTAAACCATATCGAATCTCTGCCTATAGCTCTTAGTTGTCATAAGATTCCAGTTGATCAGTGGAGGATTGAAATCCCCTTTAATCGAAGGGTCGAGTGACTTACGCTTGATCCTCATCCTCAGGTTGATTTGGAAACTCATATATATAACGCTGACAGTAAACATTTCAGATTATGGAACTAAAATGACATTGGAGCTTCTCCAGGTCATGCTCACTTGCAGATTCTTTGACAGGGCTATATTAGACTGGACCGCTGATGCATAGAACAACTCCACCACCTCCGCCCTTGGTTTGGTCTTAGAACATAATAACCATTTATTTGCATTTCCGAGTCTTTGGCATCTTGGGTGAGACACCCTTCAGTTAATGCCAGAACATCAGGACGTATTTCGATCACCGTTATTTTGAGTTTGTTGAGTTTATTCAAGAGGCTTCCTACATAACCGTAGTAGAATTAATTGTATAGGTTAGATGGTAGTTGGTGGCCATCCCGGTACCGAAAACTCCCAGCTACCTGTCTTACGGGACCGGTGGTAATAGAGACTATGCGGGTGGGGCGGATGAGTGGAGGCGTAAATGGCGCTTGTAATGCATGCTCGGAATTAACGTTCCTGGCAAAGTGGAAGCCTAACTTAAATAAGCTGAAAAATGCAAGGAGGGTATAGAAATAAGTATGGATAATTAGTACGGTATGCGGAATAAATGCATCCTTGCCCCAGATTGGAAAGAATAGCAAGTGAAGGAGAACAACCAATAGGAAGAAGGCAGTGGGTCTTAAGGTCATTCCGCAGTATGTGCGATAGTACTCTAACGGACAGAATGGACATGAGAACACGAGAGTCAAGCAGCGGCATGCTGGACGGCATAACGCAAGCGGGGTAAGACTTTAATGCGAAAAATATGTTTGGGCGAAAGAGAAAATCTGCAAATAATAGTGTGTTTTCACTGTGGCCACATCTAGGATTAAAACTATGGCAGTAGTTATTTGCTATATGTGAGTGGTGTACTATACAATGTAAAGAGGAATTTACACTCTGTATATGAAGTTACACTTTGCTCTGCTTGCAGAGCCCAGTCTCTTAGAAGACGAAGGAGAGCAGGACCGCAAGTGGATGGGCCGACAGATTATTCGCGGATCCTGGAAATAATCCAGTCGTCCTGCCTAGTGCAGTATCTCCAACAGAAAGGACTACCGACCTGTAGGGTCTTTGAGATGTCGAAAGGTCATTCCCTTACAAATACTGCGACAGCGCACGAATGGTTATGCCTCTAGGTAACATCTGGGTTCTGTGGTATGCAGCCTAGGATAGTACCTCTAAAATGAATCAGATACAGGCAACACAGTGCGCGCATGCAATTAGAAGCATAATGAGAAGCATGATGAATCATAATCCGCCTAGGATACATCTTTCGCCCTATACCAAATTTTTCCGTGTGGGGGTGCAATACAATGAGTCTACATAGACATTTTTGCAGCGCCTCGTTCTCGGGCGTTTAAAGTGAAGAAAAAAGTCATCTGCGCGTGAAATCCCAGACATAATGAGAACGTAATCACAAAGCTTGAAATCGAGCCAGTAAGTACAATTGTAGAATCAGTTGGCAGGGCTACCAACTACCATCCTAACGGTGTATAGATTACTGCGTTGAACTAGTTGCCGGTTGTGTGACTCCCGTTAGTACGACGAACGTCCTCCATAGGAGGGGTTTTTATCGTCGAACGATCAATCCGTTCATTATTCCCGGTCCCTCCTCCTCTTCTGTCAAGGTCGCCCGTCCCACATTCATCGTCCTCCATTTCATTCCCTTTTGTACAGAGTAATTTGGTGGTCCGGAACCCTCCCTGCCGTTCGTTCGAGTAAGAGATCTCTGTGGAGTTCCCTTCTCCAAAAGTGCCTTTAAAGGCCTCAAGTTCTTCCCTTGAAAGTTTGCGTTATCTTTACTGCTCAGTCGAAGATGTTTCAAAGTCTTAATAACTTCATTCTGTTTTTATAATCATTTCGTCCAGAAAAACCTACAGATCGATACAGAATACACCGCAGACCTGCTCCAGTTAACCCTCAAGGAATATTTCGTCTCGCTGTGTTTCGACATACAAGAGATAATCAACACGTACAGTAGATGTGCTTACTCATGAAATGCCAAACAAAATTTCGAAATGCGTTCTCGTTTCAAAAAGATAAATTAAGTAGTGTTGTAAAACTGATCATGATGCAGCATAAATCTATAATGATCCAGTTACTTCAGGGTGTCGGCTCTCGAAAGAACTTATTTTCGGCTGAATGCAAGATCTTAACTATGCAAAATAAATGACTGCTTATGTAGCATGCAATTTTCTCATTGATTTTCAATGCCCTTGAAAATTCAATTATATTTCAAGGAAAACATGCATAAAAATAATCATCCTTTTATTTATTTGGTAGAGAATCACGTCCTCTTCAAATTTTATGCTCAAAAAGAGTATAATTCGGTTTTAAAAACTTTTCTAATTCCCGAATAGTTTTGAATCCTACCTGCTGTTACACTTGCATTTAGGGTTCCAAAACTACAAGCTGTATATTTTCCGTATACGGAAAACAATGCATTTCTCTACGGTGTCAAGAGAAGACCACATGAGGTTCATAAAATTAAGCAGTGGATTTAAGCGATATTGTTAACTTTACAAGCTACATTCATAAATGCAGATACACGACATTTCACGAACGGCCATTTAACGGTATTAAAAATTCTCAAAATTAGAAACTTTTTTAATAGCGAATAAACTCCTCTTTTGAGTATGAACTTGGAAGAAGACGTGATTTTCTACCGAATAAGTAAAATAAAGAAAATATTGTTATGAATGTTTTCCATGAAATATAATTAAATTTTCAAGGGCATCGAAAATCAATGAGAAAATTGCAGGCTACAGAGGTAGTAATTTTGTTGCAGAGTAAAGATCTTCCATGCAGACGAAAATAAGTTCTTTCGAGAGCCGACACCCTAAGGTAACTGGGTCATTATAGATTTATGCTGCATCATGATTAGTTTTACAATACTACTTCATTTATCTTTTCGAAACGAGAACGCCTTTCGAAATTTTTGTTGATATTCCATGAGTTAGCACATCTACTGTACAGATAAAGTCCGATACGTATCGAATGCATGAGTAACCTCGTATGGAATTACCAGTGTTTGCATTCCACATGTCCGATTCGCCTTCTGCAGTAAGTCCTACGACGGAATTCTCGGATACTGCATAATGGCATATGAATAGGGGTTATTGGTTTGAAAGTATACGTCAGATAAATTGAAAAACTAGATTTCGTTTCTCCATCTAAATTGCACGTTGCCAAGCCCCAACCAGTAGTAGTTTGATATTCTGAAATGTTGATCGGCCATGTAGTAAATGATACATAAGTCCTCGGGTTTTCCTTCCAATTACCTGGGAAATCGTCGAGGGAAATATTGTGCACATGGCCTCTGTGCGGCTGGGAATATTCCGATGCCAGTAAATGTTACGTGAGCCGGTTGATCGACGGGTAGAACGGTTTCACAGAATCTTATATTCAGTTTCAGTATCAGTGTATTTTAGGGAAAGGATGTGTGTTCCTTAGAAATCCCTACTGTTCACATGCAGAGTAAGTACATGAAGAAAATGGAAAGGAAGCAACATGAAAGAAATGCAAGGGGAATAACAAAAACTGTACAGATTAACACAGAATGTCATGCGTTAACAGCATTTAGAGGCATATGAACTCGGTTTGTTGATAAAATGCAGTAGCATTTGAAGCACGCGTAGGATACAGAACAAGAAGCAAAATTTTTCTAGTCTGCAGGCATCGTGATGAATGCGAGCCGCGGTGTGCGACGTGGTCCACAATTAATAGATTACATAAAAGATATTTTACTTGAATGTGGGCAGTAGCATCGCCATAGCACTAAACTGTCAAAGTTGACTATCAAGGTGGCTTAAGTCCGGCGTTATTGTGTTGTGCGCTCCAATGTTGATCTAGCCTCCTTTTAAAGTGTTTTCGTATCCCGACGTAACAACATCCTCAGGCAAAGCATTCCAAACTGCAACCACTCTGTTGGATAAGAAGAACTTTCGTGCGCCTATCCGGGCACTAGTCACACGTAGTTTGAGAGGATGACCTCTGAGGTTAGTCGTCGTCGTCGCCAACTCGAAGAAATCTCCAGCTGCGAGGCAACAGCCCTGATTGTGCACTTTGCGGAAAGCTTATATCAGGTCCCCACGTAGATGGCTGTAACTCAAA